ACATTAAACTATTAAAGTTTATTGAATAATCAGATTTCTTAAATAAAATATTATTAAAAAAATATTCTCAAAATTTCAAAGTAAACGCGTTTTCCATTTTTATGTTTTGAAAAATAATTTTTCAAAATGACAAAAAGAATGCATTTTCAGTAATTTCAAAATAGACATTCAAAATACAAAATACAAAATGAATTCAAAACTCAAAACTAAAATACAAGGAGAACAACCCGTTATTTGTTTTCTGATTTCTTTATTTTTGGAATAATGTAATCATAATAATTTTATGGATTTTTTAAATAAAAAAAATTACTCACTCCGTCCCAATCATATAGCCTCGTTTCGTTTTTCACACGGATTAAGAAAGTTTCTTTAATGTAATTGAAAAATTAATTTTTGTCAATATCTTTCCTAATTTACCTCTATTTAATTTTCAGTATGTAAAACTAAATTATAAATGGAATTAATAAAAAATTTGAAGAAGAAGAAATGAGAGTTGTTCCATGTTTTCAAGAAGTGGAAAATTGTGTGTATTTGGATTATTTCAAGAAGTTGACATATTAAATGAAGAAAAATTAATAAGGGTATATTAGTAAATGAATACAACAAATATTCTACATTAGGAAACATGCATATATATTTGGACAAGAGAAAAATGAAACTCAAGGGAGTATATAGTCCTAACTTAGAGATGAGTTTGTAAAAGGTCAGAAATTGTGTCCCCAACTTACTGTATGTGAATTTATGTAATAAAAAAATCGTCAATATCAATGAGTTTGATATAATTTATGTCAATAAAAAATCTTCTATATATAATTGGGACGAAGGGAGTATATAGTCCTAACTTAGAGATGAGTTTGAAAAAGGTGAGAAATTGTGTCCCCAACTTACTGTATGTGAATTTATGTGATAAATAATCGTCAATATCAATGATAAAATTGTACTAAATTTCACGTGATATTAAGTTGGAGGGTAAAACCGTTGCACTTAATTCTTACTCAATTTTAACGTTTACATTGATTATTTCGATCACGTGAAGATCAAAATTTACAAATTTAAATAGGTAGCGACATAGAAATTCACTTTCGATAATTGGAGACCACAGCATTATATTAAAAGAAAAAGAGCACAACTCTAATTTTTCCTTTTTAAAATTCATGACTTATTTGTGATTCTTGCACTATTGATGATTTTGCTTATAAGTAATTATTTTCGTTTTCAATTACTTATTTATCAGGATTTTTTTTATTAATTAAATTTGCTTTCTGAGAGGCAAGTCTCAAACAATACACTTAACGGAACAAGTCTTCAACAAAAAAAAGACACGTATGCCACATAGCCATAATTGCGAGTGACTTATTTCATAATACAAGCAACAAAGTATCCAACAAAATAACATTTTGATTAGTACAATTACGATTCAAAAAACTTCTAAAGTTGGATGACAACTCAAAACATTTTGAAAAAGCAACTTGAAAAAATGTTCAATGACAATTGAATAACATTTGAACAATTTCAATTGCAATTAAAATATTTGAGCTCTATGAACGAGTCAAACTTACTTTGTTAACGAGCAACAAGTGACTTGAGAATATCCAAGACAGAAGAAAAAGTTACATAACAATGTCATTTAAGATATGTTTGGTACGATAAATTGGAAACGATTGAAGTCAAAAGCTTAAATTAAAAATTAAAATAATAATAATAATAATAATAATAAAACAAAATCAAGAAAACAATAAAAGACTGGGAAAAAAATCTGATTAAGCTTACAAAACCAAATATTTTTTAAAAATATGGTAATGTAACATATACTAAGAAAATTCATTGTCCCAAAATTTCTATGCCGTTTTCGCATTCAAGATTGGTGCGTGCAGGGTTCTTCACCAATTGCTGTTGCCACGGCCTCTTCCTCTGCTGGGGCCTCTCGAAAATCTATCATTTCTTCGATCAGAAAATCCCCCTCTTCCTCCAGAAAACCTACCATCTCTCCGATCAGAAAATCCACCACGCCCACCACCTCCAAACCTTCCTCCACGTGCCTGCTCTCTTTCTTGTAAGCGTGGCAGTGATTTCACTACTTCTAAGCTTACACCACCAGCATTTTCTTGGCCTGCAACCCAAAAATGTAGCAGTAATTAATCACAGTTCGAGGTATTGAACAGAAAGTATATGACAAACGGTAGGATCTAACCAGCAAGGAAGGCGTCCAGATCTTCGGCAGCCACATCAAACACTGCACCATTACCGTCAGCCGTCAAAGCAAGACCCTTAATGGACTCCACCTTCTCCTCAGGTAAAAATCTCCGCAGTACGCTGTAAGCAAACCTGAAATATGATGGCGTTATGTAAAAAACAGGATGCTATAGAACATTTTCACAGACAAACAGAAAGTAGTTAGATATGCTCAAGTAACCAACTTTTTCAGCTCTGTCATTCATTTCCTCTCGTGGGAATCCTACAGCTAATATCCTAAGCCACAAGTAATAAGATGCATTCTTTCTGGAATAATACTATCCAACACCAATCGTGCTAAACACTTGTCTAGGTGTCAACATGTGATAGTTCTATTAAATAGGTCATAAATTCTTGTATTGAACCTGTTATTTAATGCCACAAATGTTACCATCTAAACTGGTGTTAAACACCAATGATGTTAAATAACATTACTCTTCTTTCTGCTCTGGCAAAAATTAAAAAAAATATATATATATATATATATTAAAAAAAAAAAGCCCATGTTACAGAAATGTAATATACAGCTTATTAATTACGCAAACCCCTTCATCTTTCCTTGCGATGTGCGAAAATGGGCCTTAAAAGAATGTATGTCACCACATTCTATCCTACAAAGATTTCATATTTGGTTCACAAGACAGACACATTAGTAAACAGCATGGTCATTGTCACCTTCTGCACCTTTGACCTTTTGCAATGTTCAAACACAACAAAAAGATATCAGTAGATGGATAAAAGAGTTTAAAGCACTTACGATGGTGTGAAAACGGGCCTTCCACATCCAAGGAGAACTGTAACGTAGTTCTCCATTGAAGTGAGCAGGGATCGACTCTTGATCTCAGTATAACCCTGCATAACAAACAGCATACCTGATAGTGTCAAACATAAAATCAAAAGGTGATTAGCATCAAAAACATATTTGAGCAGTAAGAATCTACCGCAGCATTGGCGAGAGCTTTTGATAGAAGTTCTTTTGGCGCTAAATTAGAGGTGCTTAGTAGCTCTTCAACAGCAGCCATGAATACCGGAATTACACTACAAATTTTTAAGAATATATGAGTACCAGGAGTCACAGCACCTACAAGCATATACAAGTAGAACATAAAACAAAAGCTCACCTATCGGAGATCTCCTTGATTTTTCCTGCTGCTTCTGCACTAGCAGCTTTAGCTATATCAGCTGGCTGCGGAGCAGATATATGCTCAAACTTCACCCCAGATTCTCTTTCTATCCTAGAAAAATTTGACTTCCTTGGATCATAAAGCATTACAGCAACACCAGTTTTCCCTGGGAGAAGCATTGAAACAGTTCTCGTAAGTTCGCAAGCTTCGAAACTAAAATAGTCGAAAATAATTCAACAACTCACCTGCTCTTCCCGTTCGTCCAGACCGGTGAATATATGCCTCTACATCACGTGGAGGTTCACACTGAACAAAATTGATAATTTAGGTACATAGATTACTAACAGGATCTAGAGTACACAATACAAGTCGGATATGATAATCAAGAATAGCCAGTGGAACTACTAAAACGGGACAAACCTGAATTATTAGTTGGACATCATCGATATCCAATCCACGTGCCGCCACATTTGTGGCAACAAGAGTTGAAAATTTGCCCGACCTGAATCCAGAAAGTGTGACCTGCACACATACAGCACAATCTAACATCAACGTAGAATGACCTATTGGTGCAAATTGAAGATTTTTTTCTGAGTGTATATAGCTTCATCCCCAATGGAGAGGTAGAAGCAAGATAGACCTAAGAACATCAGTCTGATGAAATGTTCAACCGAAAAACTAGAAAAGTGTCAACTAGACCCAGCACCACGATTTGTCCTTGCGTTGGGGAGAACTATAATGGATGGTTCATTCTACAGCCTTTCTTCTTCCTCAGGAAGAAAACCCTCATAAAATTAACATAATAGATGGATGGCCCAAAAGATATTAAAACAAAATGTTACCTCTCGTGTAGCCTGTTGTATGTCCCCGTGCAGCGCACGTGCTCCAGGCAACAAGCCTGCAAGTGTAGAAGCAGAGTCCTTTGTCTCGGTGAAGATTATGGTGCGCCCACCACTGAATAGAACAATTCCATGGAAACAAATGACTGGGTTGTAAAATGAACTAACATACCTGAAAATCGTAACCAAAGACCAGTTAGGCTAGAAATAACCAACCTACTATAGCAGCGGATGATATCCGGAATAAGCTGGGATCTGGCTGAACCAGAGCAAGGAAGAACAATATGCCTCACGTTGGTGCTAGCCTTCATTTTCTCATTGCCAACAAGATCAGCTGTTTTCTTATCCTTTTTCAAAAACTTGGATGAAATCTGACAGCACAAAGTACAGATCTCAATCTAAAAAAAAAGTATACATACCGAAAAAAGAGAAAATGGCCCAAAATTAAAATTGAAACAAAAAAAGAACGAAATACATAAAGAAAACATACATGCTTCACCCAGTCTGGCAATGTGGCACTGAAAAGAAGAGTTTGAACCTTATTTGCGTCCTCCACCTTGCCTTAAAATTCAACCATACAAAATTTAAGTATGAAAAACCAAGTACCTAGCAAAGAGTCAATGACATTAAATATTTCACCAGCAATGCAGTAGCAAGCAGAAAGAGTAGCTTAATAGTAATACACAACATCCAATCCATTAAAACAATTGTGCAAGTAAAACACCTAGAATCAGTTCAACATCTTCAACAAAACCCATCCTCAACATCTCATCAGCCTCGTCAAGGGCACGGAACTTCAGTGAACTTAAGTCAATATTCCCCCTCTCTATGTGATCCTGTATAATTTTGAGAAAGCCAACAGCTGTGTCATTTTTCCTCTTGAAATACAGACTACAACAGAATCAGGTGCATAACAGTACAGAAAGGTTAATTAGTAAAAAGTTACTTTAATGCGTCCGGGAGTTCCAACTACTATATCAACACCCCTTTTCAATAGTATCTGTTGTGGCTTGTATGGAGACCCCCCATATAGACAACATGATGTCAACCCTAATGCTCCACCATAGACTTCAAAATCTGAAAACACCTATAATCATATAAAGAAAGAAGCACGAGAAATGATAAAATAATAAGATGATAGCTTGGAGGAAATAAAGTTCAATGCTAAAACAAAATCTTGTGAAAATGTTCGGTCAAGAGACACTACCTGAGTGGCCAATTCCCTAGTGGGTAAAAGCACAAGAACACTCGGGCTTCTCCCATATCCTTTCTTTCTTGAAGCTACTGTGGGTCCATTTGTCAACGACTCCAATATTGGTAACACAAAGGCCAAAGTTTTGCCCTGTTAATAGAAAGTAAAATTTACAAAACATTACGTTAAGTTAAATGGAAAGTGTTCATCTCAACATCTTGCAATAAATAGTATTTCTCTAACGTACAAACAGGATTGCAGTAGCTTATAATTTTAAATTTTATTCAATTTTCTAGAGACCCATTATAATTTCAAGAATGGTTAAATAGCACAAAACGTCCCTACTTTTTAATGTCATTGTGCAAAACGTCCATACCTTTCATTTTTTGGCATTTTCACCCCTACCTTCCACCTTTCATTGCGCAAAAGTTCATTTTTAACCATTTTTCCAATAAAATGACGATTTTACCCTTCTATTCAAATGAAAGAAAAAGAAAAGAAAAAATAAACAATTAATTGCAATCAAAGTCCTAAATTTTTCAAAATATTACAAATAAGTCATGAATTCTCCACCACCCGACTTTTATAACCCCACCAAGCCGCCACATATAGATCCACATAACACCACCTTCTAGCCACCACGCCCGCCGGACTCCACCACCACTAGCCTCGCTTCACTCTCCCCAACATCATATACCACAGTATTGGTCACAAAATCTGTCAAAAACAGCCACATTTGCAGCCTAAAATACCAAACTACTGTATACAACCTTCACGACAAGCCCACTTTCGGCGCCACCCATGATCACGCACCACCACTGATGGTTATCCCTCACCTCGACGAACCTATACATGGCCTCACATCAATCAAACCTGCCTCAGATCATTCTACTGTAATCTAGACATTCGACAGTGGCGACGTCCATTTTGCCAAGCTCTTCTCCTTCAATTTATACATCCCACAACACTAAATCCACAAATTGGCATCAACGAACCATCAACAAACTCAAACCTAATTGAACCAATTATCCCCCCAACCATTTCAATTTCTAATCCAAAACTTTCCACTGGCGCGATGCACGGAGAGAGCTATCTGAGCAAAATTGGTGGGTCCTGAATGCTCAAATCTTCAAATTCGTGTGAAGGAGGACGGTGGGGGATTGAAGCGAGGTTAGTAGTGGTGGAGTTCGGTGGGCGTGGTGGCCGAAAGGTGGTTCTATGTGGATCTATAGGTGGCAGCTTGGTAGGTTTTGAAAGTGATGGTGGTGGAGAATTTATGATTTCTTTGTAATTTTTTAAAAACTTAAGGACTATAGTTGCAGTTGGTTATTCATCTTTTTCCTTTTGTTTTATTTGAATAGGAGGGTAAAATTGTCTTTTATTGAAAAAATGGTTGAAAAGGAACTTTTGCACAATGAAAGGCGGAATGTAGGGGTGAAAATGCCAAAAAATGAAAGGTTTGGATGTTTTACACAATGACATTGAAATGTAGGGATGTTTTGTGCTATTTACCCCTTCAAGAATTAGATAGCCTTAAAAATTTTATAAACATCCGAATACACAAAATATAGTGCATTCATGGCAACATGACAAAAAGAGCAACCAATTTAACACTTCCAAAATAAAGTTTCTGCCATCTTGAACAAAAGGACAACAGTGAATTTTCAAAAAGAGTTACCACACTAATTAATCAAACAGAAAGTTTAATTTATAACTTCCAACTCCAGAACAAATAATGAAACTCTGACATATCATAATCCAATGCGAGTGAGATGACAACAAAGGAAGGATGTCCATTTCCCCCCTAATTTTAATAACCTCATATTTCTACCAGCACTTGAATATTTAGCGTTGTCTATCTTCTGTATATCTAACCATGGAGTAATCTACCTTTCAAAAAAAAAATTTTACCTTTCAAAAAAAAAGTAATCTATAATATTTAGAATCAGAAGTAAAAGAATTTCACAGAAACCCTCACTTGGATAAAACTGTATATTACTGCAAAGTTAACAAAGAGAGCCAATTCTGAGCTAATTTTTTATCCAAGCCCAAGGTTTCGATCATCAGGACCAATAGAAATAGCATATTTAGAAGGAATAAACATGCAACAATCAATCAGCTTCCTAACTCCAATTCTATCCTTAATTGCAAAAAATTGCAGTGCCCTCGTATAACATAACAAAAAAAAAGGTAACCAATTTGAACCTGCTTTACATTAACGATAAATTCATCTAAAATTAAGCTGAAAAACCTCAAATTTTATTTAAAAATACCAATAAAAACCCTAACCTGACCAGTGCGTGCCCTTCCAATCAAATCAGCCCCGTCGAGAATGGTATCAAAAGTCATGGCCTGAATCGGGAACAGCGATTCAATTCCCTTAGCCTTCAATGCCTCCCTCAACGGCTCTGAAATCCGAAAATTCGACAGTGCATTCGGATTTTTCACCTTCTCCACATCACCATCCCCGATTTTCATTTTCTTCTTCATACTCAAATTCATCGCATCGCCCATCTCCGAACTAGTGTCGCTCCTCTCCTCCTCATTATCAGTCTCGTCAATCTCTGTAGCTTTTCGCTTCTTCTTCTTATCTTTTTTAGTTGTCGTAATAGTATTTGAATCGAGGTTGGAGGGCATTTTTGTCTTTTTGGATTTTTTCTCTTTTTGGGTCTTTTTCTCAACAGAATCGTCAAGCTCCGGAGTTTCGGGATTCAGCTGCTGCTTCTTCATTTTCTTCTTGCGTTCAGAGGATTGAGATTCCGATACAACAATTGAAGGCATGATGATTATGTATCGTGCTGCTGTAAGGTGCAGGGAACAGCAGAGAGGAAAGAGGAAGAGGTGAATTACTAGGGTTTACGGTTTTATAGGCTATGGCCATGGCCATGGCCATGGCGATGGAAATTTTAGTGACCGTTAGGCCATTTGATTTTGGGTCGAGCGGGTAAACTAAGGTCCGTAACAGGCTAAAATTTGAAGCCCAATTATAATGGAGACTTGCTAATTTAATTTTAGGGAAAAAAATCATATTTAAGG